GAGGTTTGCGTTGTGATCCTTCGACACGAGGTGCCGCTACTGGTCGATCCGAATCCATGTAAACGTAGTGGTTGAAGTGAATACGATTCGCTGACTGGATCCAATGCGCTGCTGTCGCATCCATGTAAACGTAGCCGTTGTGATGGTGTTAATAGCGTCAGCGCGTTACAACTGAGCCGCTCGAAGTGCCCGTGGGGTGACGAGTGTGTGGCTGGCCCAAGGAGCACGTAGCTTCCACAACACTGTCAGCTTAGGGCTGAACGAGGTGAGGAAAGCAACTTTTGTTTGAGTTTTGAGCGACGGGCTAATCTTCTAGGGGGAGAATGGCTGTGTCCGGTTGCACGAACGAGGGTCCGAGAAAGAGGGGAGTCCTTCCTTTCCGTCTTCTTGGACCGTTTGGTACAATGCGCGACTTGTGAGTTGAGGAGGAAAGCTAAGAAGGAAAATGTTGAAATGCCAAAGAGCGGCGCTGCTGCGAAGGAATCTGCTACGTCACGACTACGTAGCAGTTTCCACAACGTTGCTAGACTACCTCCCAAATAGGCTCCGCATGCATCCACCAGGTGCACATTGAAGATCGTTTATTTAGCTTTAAAATTAGTTTCCTTGTGCTTTTCAACGGAGGACTGGTGTTTTTGAGGTTAGGGTGCAACATGCAACACATTAAAGCCAGAAAATGAGCGCTGAAATTTCGTTTCCCTACCCATTTAAGCACGTTGAGAAATGTGTATATGTACCAAAACGTGACTGAATTAATGTACTTTTTTTTTTCTTAAATCTTAATTGTTTCTAAATATTAAAATTAATTTTCTGAATAAGATTTTGTGAAATTTGGATGGGATTTTAGTCTCGCGTTCACTTTTTTATCTTGCAACGCTGCTACTGGCTACGAGGTGTTTCGGTGGCGCCCTTTGGGAGTTCCTATCCCTGACGTCACGACAGAGATTATTGGCAGCGAGTGAGAAGTTCGATAATCCGTAAGAAGCATGGTGAAACAAAACAAAAAAAAAGCGGTGGCATTAAAATTTTTTTTTATATATATATAAACTTGTTACCGCATTTCCAGAAGGTATGCTCCAGTACATCTTCGTGATCGAGTCCTAGCTTAGCCAGCAATGTGTCATTCCTCTTCAAACAGACTTCACACTCTAGCAAGAAGCAGTCTTGCGAAGAGGTTTTTTTTTTTTTCAAAAACGTAAATAAATATAAAAACGTATTTTTCAAATCGTAGTGGCGCACAATGCCGGTAAGGTTGCAGTATTTTAGTCAAATGAGCACATATTTCACACGATTGCTGCTCAAATAGAGGACATACAACCAAAATATTACATTTCTAGACTGCTTTTTTTTCTTGTAGTCGACTAATATATCTAAAAAATTTTTAAAAATAAAAATTTACAGAAATGTTTTTTTTAATCGATTTTAAACTTTTAACATTATTTTTTTTACAGCGTTTGCGTGACGGTGGCGGAGCGGCTGGTCAACAGATCATAATGGTATTATTATTTCTATAATGGGCTTGCTTTGGGCTTTTTATAGAGCTAAAAAAAAAGAAAATTTACCTTAAAGGGCAACTCCGCTCAATTCCGAAGATTTCGGGATAATGAGTGATTTCGAATTAAATGGCCCTAGTAAAAGACACTACGTCGTCTGCTTCGCGAAAAATGGGATATATATATTTTAAATCTAATTTTTAACACGAGCGGAAATCGAAACCGAAACTTCGGCTCCGTCCGGCAACATTGACCTCGGGTCGCCAAGTACATGGCCATCACGTGGTACGAGATGTCACGTGATCCTCGGCCCAACGACGGGCGGGATGGGGGTGGGCGTGTGCCAGGCGCGAGTGTCGTCTGCACCGCACTCTTCGCCACGTTTTGGTGCCTACGGCATTCGACGACGTCTGCACAACTGCGGCATAAGTCTGCGCACGTAGTGTCCGTAGGGTGGACGAAACCCCGAGAGAAAATAAACACAAACGGTGAGACGACGACGGTGGTTGTGAGTGCGACACAGAAGACGGCGGTAACGGCTGGACCACGGCGGGCGGCCGGACGGCTCCCAAGAAGCGCGCTGCGCAGGCGCGTTACGCCAATCACGTGGACACCGCTGGGCGCCGAGAGGCAACGTTGCTGACGTCATGCGCTATGCTCGCCCGGAGAACTAAAAACAAACAAAAGGGGGCCATGATGGTGACGTTTAGCTCAATGCTGGCTCCGCCCATGGCGTAGCCTTGACTGCGCTGTTGGTTGCGCCTGAATTCGCCCGCTCGAGTCAGCCGATTTCGGCAACTTGGCGAGTAGCAAAGTTTGCCGTACCGTTTAAGAAACATTTACACAGAACTGCGTCGTAATATTTGACGTGTGGTCTTCCTAGGCGATACTCAAGAGGACTGCATTGTTTCTTTCAAAACCAAAAATGAAGCGGAGTGTCCCTTGAAGTACAGACAAAGAATAGGCCTGTCAAAGTTGACCAAAGATCGACCTGAACGACGAGTTTTACATCAAAAAAACTTTCAGCCTCTCCACTTTTATGAAGAAGGATGAGCAGCGGAGCTGTAGCTTCTATTAGCGAGTTTTAGTAGACCGTGTTTCCCCCTCCGCTAAGCCCCTCCGCTTCCCAGAACTCTACAGCCAAGGCCATCGGCACGCAGGCGCAGTGGCGATTCCGCCCTCCGCTCTGCAAAGCGGCTGCACGAAAACGATCCACTAAAACTCCCTATTCTCGGCGGTGGTTTTCCAGGCGAGCGTTCTGCTCTTTCGCAAGGGAATCTGAAGCGCTCGACGCAGTGTAACTTGGGGCGATAGCGGCCTCGCGGCGGTTACGAAACCATTCGCGCTGCTACGCACTTCGCCGCTCACTCGGAAAAGTGGAAAACCGGCAAACACAACACTTTGGACGGATACCGCCATCTATGAGCGACGGCGGCAACCAGAGTTTTGTGTGGACATTTATTTGCGAAGGACACGATCCTGGGGAAACTAGCCCTTAGCAGTTCCGCTGTAAAAAAAAGGAAGTCCTAAAATATTTGAATACACCAAGATATCTTTATAGTACCTATTAAATGAGGAGAAAAAGTTAAGATGGTAGAGAAGAAACAGTAGCGGCAGCAGAGTATGTCAAGCACGCGCCCTGCGACGGCAGGCAAAAATACTAGTTTCTGCCACTGCGGCTTCTACGCTTAACTGGAGAACAAAAATCTGAACAACATACGGTTTGCACCCTCCTTCATTTCAGAAATTCCCCCAAAACATTTTGTTTTGTGAAAATTAAAAATTAGCCCCTTTTAGCCTGCCCAATTTGAGATGAAGCCACCCCTCTATATTATTGGTCTCTGGCCATATAAATTACCTCCATAGAACGCATTCGTGTCACTCTCCGATTTTTTTATGTGTAAAACTTGCTTTAGAACAACCTGTATATAAAAAAGAAGGTTCATACAAAGTTAGTGAACAACAACACCTCTAAAATGAGCAGGAGTTGTAGTAGATCGGGGTTTTAGGGCGCTAAAACTATGGCTATGATGCGCCAAGAAATTCAACTATTGCATAAGCAGGTTTATGAGAAGAAAAAGCTTTAGTGGCTGGTAAGTTACGAACTTATGAACATAAAAATGTATAACATATGAGCACGACATTACAGTATAAATATCTACAATTCACTAAAATACCAATGTTTTCTATAAACATAAAAACCTGGGTGGATGGGAGCAGTGGCTCGTTTTCTAGTAATACACAAAGGTGCAAAGGGACGCACTCTTTGTACAGCTGGGAGTATATGGCGGCGTTCATCATCATAATCAGGACATTCGAGAAGGATATGTAAGACACTCAAAGGTTCTTCGCAATGTTCAGCAGGGTCCTCCCCACGTAAGAGGTGTCCATGCGTGAGCCGCGTGTGCCCAATGCGTAGACTACAGAGGACTACATCATAAAACCTGTCTCTGTGCCTAGCACTCTCCCATTCGCTGAGAAAGGGCTTCATTGTGCGCAGTTTGTTTGCCACCCGTAAGCTCTATTCTGCTTGCAACTGAGCGATAATATTATATTTGATTACGGCACAGTAATCTCTGAATGGGATGCTATTGATGTCTAAAGCACGGGTGCCACAAGTGCTCGCAGCACAATCTACATCTTCATTCCCTGGGATTTCGACATGGCTGAGTACCCAGCGAAATACAACAATACACCCTTTTCTGGTCGCTGCTACTATTCTCTTTTGCAGGAAAACAATGAGGGCATTTTTAGGAGTTGCAAGTGATGTCTGAGCTCGTTAGGCACTCAGCGAATCTGGGAGTTACGTGTTTTTATTTATTTGACATATCTTTGATCCTAGTTAAGAACTTAAATAGGAGTGGTAATTACATATACATTTTGAAAAGCTATAAAAACAGCAATCGAAGCACACTCAGAAACGCCGGTACACAAAATACAAACAATATACAGAACAAGCGGCATCCAGTGCGCAAACGACTATATATATTGGCATATACAAATAGTTATACTGTGTCTAAATGAGATGAAAACAACTAAAAATTATGGACTAAGAAACATTATCCGGTAGTTCATTCCATTCTCGCGCTCCTCGTGGGAAAAAGGAAAACTTGAAATAATCTTTATTAAACGAGAATTCATGCAAGTAAAGCGAGTGCTTGTTCCGAGTGATACGCGACTTATGAAATGTCACGTACGTTAATTTATTTATTTGTTTATTTATTTATGAAAAGTACCCTCAGGGCCCGAAGGCATCACATAGGGGAGAGCACATATATGAAACAAAGATAGTAAAAAAGTCAACAATATTAAATAAACAACAAAGAAAGATTTTAAGTGAGGTGAACTGAAATATGAAACTCTCTGTACGACGCATTTGGTGTTACGCAAGGCTGCAAGGGTGGGTCACAGGATGATATTAAGCTTTGAAACGTCACATCTGCATTGTAGACAATGTCTCGATTCTCTATAAATACATTGTGGGTGCACGGATTGAGTTTCATTGCCGCATCGGGGTTTCTGCCGTGGGTGTCAAACTTTGACCGGACGAAGTACAATGATTGTCCAAATGCTGCTGTATGGCTTCATTCTCTTTACTGCAGCTTTCGTAAGTTGGATCAACTACTTTTATCCTGCCTTCACACTGGCCCTCGAGTCGCAACCTCGAAGTGGGTCCGCTTGTCTTCATCCTCAAATGCGCGTGAATTTGTGCAGCTTGTTTAAGCAACCGGGATCGCAACCGCTTTGTGAATGCGGTTCAGCAGCCCTCGTGAATACGGCCTTAGAGGCGCCCACAAACCTACTCTCAGTAATTCATTGTAGAAGCTTCGTGCGCGAAACGTACTAGAAGAATTGTATTCGTTACTGGGATCAGTTGCGCCCCGAGGATATGGAGTGTCAAATGGAGTTGCATAGTAATATTTTTGGATGCTTTAAGATGCTAGGGTGTTGTGATACTTTAATTATTACGAACATTCAAGTACATGTGTTTATGGGAAACAAAATAAAAGTATTTGGCGTTTGACAACTCCAGTGGCAGATATTTTAAAATCAAATTGCATTCTCTTCGCACCACTACTCGATTTGATTTTAAACTCACACATTCGCACAGCCATACTTTTCAAAAATCTTGCCCAAGTGAATAGAATAAGACGGCCCACTTCCACTGAATCCTTGATGAGATTATAGACTAAACCGAATATTAGACCATGTAGACCATAAAAATCCCACACAAACTTGCAAAATTTAAAAAAAAAGCAATATATGAAGGAATGTTGCGGTATCGTTTGTCAATGCTTACTAGAGGTCGACAATGCGTCCATCATGCTGTGCGCAGGAGTGGGCCGTTCCTGGCCATAGACAACAGACATTTTTCAAAAGTGTAGCGCCCTCGTGTAGCTGCTTCCCTAATGTATAATTCTCCCGAAAAGTTAAAAATTGGTGCAACTGACCTATGGCTTTAATACTTGTTAGCTGTGATCATTTTTTTATTTATTGTTGGGACAACAGTGACGCTGTAGGTTCATGAAAACAAATATTTTGGAGTATTTTTAGTCGGCAAATGTTTGAAGAACATTGATTTTAGAATGCCTCCTATTCGTAATGACGGAAATTAGGCTGAATCTCTTAACTATCACAAAAGTTTCAAAGCCTTTAAATTTAGTTCTAGCTAACTGATTTCTTAACAACCTGATTTAAAAAAACGTCGAAATATATGAGTCAACATTTATGAAATGACCACAGTGTTCAGTGTTGCCAAAACATTTATGTTTCTCATAATTGGTAACAATAAACTTCTGTAACCGACTGAAATACCAGTGGTGTAACGAAGATTAGAACACTAAATGCAGCACTGTCCACGGTATTCAGTACGTAACAATGTGCACTTTTTGAACCCCCTTTCACGACTGCCTTACCAAACGCGATGATCACTTCGTCCAAAACGTTTAGATCTTATAACCCAAAGACTAAGTAGAAACAATTGCGTACCATTTTAATGTGTCATTGGTGTCACGCATAATTTATGTTCTACTTTCTTTAATTTATTGATGATAAACAAGGAGGATTGACGAAGCCAATATATATTCCTACTGTTTTGAAACTGTAGATACGAATAATGTTCTACTGAATACGTTTTATTTAACATTTCGACAAAAACCCCGAGACTGGGACAAAAAGGGACGGACAAACACAAAGTCTCAAACACAGCTGAATTTTATTTGACAAGGAAGGGTGCTTATATAGGCGTCAAATCCTACACAAATCAAAAGAGACGAAGGAAAGAGAGGGAGAAACCTTCACAAACAAAAGAGGCGAAAGAAAAAAGAGGGAGAATTGGGAAAACCCGTGCCACAAGCAGTACAACAAAAACAAGCATTACAATAGAACTGAAAAGTTTATACAAAAACAAAAGCTAAGTAGAAGGACTAAAGTGCATTAGTCCCCAAGAGACCCCAACACTACAACAGGTCGTTTATACAAAAACAAAAGCAAAGTAGAAGGACCAAAGTGCATTAGTCCTCAAGAAACCCCAACGCTATAACAGGAAGGACGCAACGAACCAACGACCAGGAAACAACAAAGCGAAAAGACTTAAAATCGGAAAAAGGCCTCAACACATCAATTGACAGGACGCGCAGACATCAAATTTGTAAAAACTTTCTTTGTTCTTTATCAATTGTGAGGGATGGCTTATTTACCGCATTCCCATGATTCATGATTGTTATAGATTCTTTTATCAAACGCTTCCGATCATCCTTTCCTGATAAGATGACTGTTGTTGAGTCCCAGTTGGGTAGACAATTATTGCATTCAACTACATTTTTTGATACTTCCGAATAAGGATCTTTGTTTTTGACACAACGTTTGTGTTCGGTGAGACGATCGTTTATACAGCGCTTGGTTTGTCCTATGTAGCATAATCCGCAACCAAACGGGATCCTGTATACTACTCCTGACACACAACTGACCTCTTTTTCCTTGTGTTTTTTAGTGCACCCTGCTCTGGCGGAAGCAAACGGAGTCAAACGATTCAGTTTGTAATCATTGCTGAAAACCGTGCTAATACCATACTTATTACCAATAGATTTAAGATTATGTGAAATCTGGTGAAAAAACGGAAGAACTACACGCTTTGTGGGTGTAAAGGCTGGCACTTTACATTTTCAAAACATGTAAAGGCTGGCATAGTACGCAATTTGGTCAACAGTGCTCTGAAAAAATCATGTTCCCATTTTATTGAGTCTGCTCTCAAGCGCCTGTTTGACCTTCTAAAGCCGCTGGGTACCCTCAAGATTACGTGTTCAATCAGTTGTTGTTTCTCATCTCCCTCAAAAAAAAGTGCCAAAGTGTTCTTCAACCCACAAAGCGTGTAGTCCTTCCGTTTTTTCACCAGATTTCACATAATCTTAAATCTATTGGTAATAAGTATGGTATTAGCACGGTTTTCAGCAATGATTACAAACTGAATCGTTTGACTCCGTTTGCTTCCGCCAGAGCAGGGTGCACTAAAAAACACAAGGAAAAAGAGGTCAGTTGTGTGTCAGGAGTAGTATACAGGATCCCGTTTGATTGCGGATTATGCTACATAGGACAAACCAAGCGCTGTATAAACGATCGTCTCACCGAACACAAACGTTGTGTCAAAAACAAAGATCCTTATTCGGAAGTATCAAAACATGTAGTTGAATGCAATAATTGTCTACCCAACTGGGACTCAACAACAGTCATCTTATCAGAAAAGGGTGATCGGAAGCGTTTGATAAAAGAATCTATAACAATCATGAATCATGGGAATGCGGTAAATAAGCCATCCCTCACAATAGATAAAGAACAAGGAACGTTTTTACAAATTTGATGTCTGCGCGTCCTGTCAATTGATGTGTTGAGGCCTTTTTCCGATTTTAAGTCTTTTCGCTTTGTTGTTTCCTGGTCGTTGGTTCGTTGCGTCCTTCCTGTTATAGTGTTGGGGTTTCTTGAGGACTAATGCACTTTGGTCCTTCTACTTTGCTTTTGTTTTTGTATAAACGACCTGTTGTAGTGTTGGGGTCTCTTGGGGACTAATGCACTTCAGTCCTTCTACTTAGCTTTTGTTTTTGTATAAACTTTTCAGTTCTATTGTAATGCTTGTTTTTGTTGTACTGCTTGTGGCACGGGTTTTCCCAACTCTCCCTCTTTTTTCTTTCGCCTCTTTTGTTTGTGAAGGTTTCTCCCTCTCTTTCCTTCGTCTCTTTTGATTTGTGTAGGATTTGACGCCTATATAAGCACCCTTCTTTGTCAAATAAAATTCAGCTGTGTTTGAGACTTTGTATTTGTCCGTCCCTTTTTGTCCCAGTCTCGGGGTTTTTGTCGAAATGTTTAACCACCACCAGCTCGTTTGCGCCCTTACCTTTTGTACGTTTTATTTTTTGAAGGATTACACAAGGATAACGAGATTAAAACTGCGAAGAATGTTCATGCGTCCTAACGGGGCGCTGCTCATGAGGCGTCTGCTCTCTTCTCTTTTCTCCTCTCTTGCCGTGGGGGCGACTTGAGTTAGGTCTACCCTCACGGAGGTCTGTCCGCACTACCGGCGTCTGCATGATTACCGCCAAAGACATGTAGATGACGCGGACTAAGCATTGTTGGAAATAAAAACTTTCTTTCTCTCTGGCCCGCTTCCGGGCCCCCCGAGCTGGTGTCGGGTATCCCCGGTGCGTGCCAGCCTTCTCCGCGGCTCGGGAGAGCGTGTTACGGGGAAGACGGTGTTGTCGCTACAAGCCTTGTATAGTTTCCCTGCCCACACCTTGGAAGCCCCGGGTTCTCGTCCGTGCGGTCCATCCCGGAAGAACACGTAGTCACAAGGAAGGGTTCCTTACGTCTTGTTTATTCTCCGTCTCCTCCCCGAATGCCCCTGCGCCTCCCACCCACAGAGTTATTACAATAAACGCTATAGCCTCAGCTGGCGCTAGTGTGCTGTTGCATTTTGATGCAGACAGCAGGCAGTCAGAAATTGACTTCCCGTAATGCATTTCGATGGGAAAAAGCGAGTGCATTTTCTCTCTGCGCTCGATTATAAGAGCAAATATCACGAATAATTTGTACATACTAGGCACATTGGAACATTTCTCAGTCACGCAGACGATATAATTGGTCAGTTACAGCATTTTTATTTGAAATTCACGGCATTAAAAACGGTGTTAAAACCGCTTCGTACGTGTATTTATGTGCACTGTCGGACACTGTTAGCGCGAACACGGCGTCGTCGCTTTGTAGCGAACGAACATGTGGAAAACCAAGAGAGACGGCAAAAACTACGCAGTAACACTGGGTAAGTAACTCTTCGTGCTTGCAGACGATCAAAATAAGTTGAAAGTCACGTAATATAGTCCGATTTGCAATAAATAAGTACTGCTTTATTCTTTCTGCTCATGACTATGTGAGAAGATGCTTGTTCTGGGTTGAAATCATCACCTGCACGCTCCAAATCTTTGCAAATAGGGGGAAGCCAGAGGACAGGTGCGCGATAAAAACTGCCCAACGTATACGAAATAATAAGCAAACACGTGCACCTTTCGTAGTCCACGTACTTTATTCTTTACGTTTCGAACTTTTTTTTTTTTTTTTAAC